GAGCACCGGGCCCTCGACCCCTGTGTCCATCGACACAGTCTACGACGCCGCGTCCCCCGCGCCTTCTGCGCTCTCCACCCGCGGTCCCTCCCCGTTGTTTTCGGACGCCGAATCAGGCTCCGAGATGGAAATAGAGATTCACAGACCCGAAAAACCCGAAGACGAAGGCTTCACCCTAGTCTCGGGTAAAAAGCGCAAGCGCCCCGCCGCGAAAAAAGGAGACGAGCCTCACTTGGCCCCTATGTCGCCCAACGCCACTCCGGCCAAAAAAGTCGCGCCTTCCGCGCGCAAAACGACCGCGACCAAAACCGCGAACCCGACTCAGGCCGTACCTAGAAAGGAGAAGCCGCCGCCCCCAATATTTCTTCAGGACAAATCGCGCTGGAACAACCTATCCAAGTGGATAGACTCCAAAAAGGTATTCTGTCTCAAAGTCCACAATGGACCACAGGGCATCCGTATCCAAGTCGCAACGACGGACGATTTCCGCGCTTTAACTACGCACATTAAAGCTCAGAATCTGAGCTTCCACACTTACTCTCTCGCGGAGGACCGTAACCTCCGTGTTGTAGTTCGCAGACTCCCTAAGGAGCTAGAAACCGAGCACATATTAAGCGATCTTAAATCGCAATATCTGCCTGTTAGGGAAGTGCACAGGATGCACCATCAAACCGACAAAAAGCGTTACCTTGATCTTTGTCTAGTAATACTGGACCTGTCTCCAGAGGGCAAAGAGATATTTAACATCTCACGGATATGCAATCTCACGGGGATTGTTGTAGAGTCCCCGCGTAATAGGGGCATTGTTAGCCAATGCCACCGATGCCAATTATACGGCCACTCGTCCAGGAATTGTTTCGCCCGGCCTAGGTGCGACAAGTGCCTAGGCGATCATGGCACTACCGAGTGCCCCCGAACGCCCGAGACGGAGGGCCCTCCGAGCTGTGTTCTGTGCGGTGAAGAGGGACACCCAGCGAGCTATCGCGGGTGTTCCAAAGCGCCGCGTAGGAAGCAGAATGGAAGAGCAATCCGACGCGGACTAGCAGGCAACTCCAGTAGGTCGCGCCCACGGCATTCTGCCCCCTCGGTCGCACCAACCTCGGTGTCGCAACCCGCGCCCGCACAGGCTACAGCCAAGCCTGCCCCCGTTAAAGGGACTTCCGGGCAAGGCCCAAGCCTTCCGGTGCCTTCAGCACCTAAGCCCAACGCATGGGTTAAGCCCCCGACGATAGTCAGCGCGCCGCCTTACGGTGAGTGCCTCCTCGCCAGGCCCAGAAACCCAAACCCGCCCCTCAGGCACCATCAAACATCGACACTGACCTTTCGTTAGTGTTCAACTTCGCCAGCAACATTAATGTGGCCGAAGTCACAACCCTAGCCCGTAAACTTCGCGAAGCTAAGTCTAACCAAGATAGGCTCAATGCTACCATTGAGCATATTAGTCTTATCCAAGCGATAGGTTCGTTCCAGTGCGCCTAAGCAACTCTTTCTTTTCATAACCAAAATGGAAGTAAGACCTATAGGTAGAACCAAGCCTAGGTCTCTGACTGTCGTGTACTTTAATGCAAACGGTATCAGAGATCAAAAGGAAGAGATCATATATTTTTTACGCAACCATGATATCGACATCATGCTAGTGCAAGAGACCTTCTTGAAACCTAGTTTGAGCGATCTCAAAATAGCCAATTATACCCTAGTAAGAAATGATAGGCTGACCGGACCTAAAGGCGGCACCTTGATCTACTACAAAAGGTCCTTGCAATGTGTACCGATAAATACTCCGCCGCTTACTAACTTAGAAGCGTCGGTCTGTAGGATAGCACTTACGGGCCATCCGCCAATAATAATTGCATCAGCATACCTGTCTCCCTTAAAAAGTATATTAGATTCCGACATATCGGCTCTATTAAACCTAGGCCCTAGCGTTTTAATCGCAGAAGACCTAAATAGTAAACACGTTAGCTGGAATTCTAACGTTAACAATCCTAACGGAATTATTCTAAGAGACCTCACGGAGATACTCAACTTCGATGTTATCTCTCCCGAGCGTCCAACACACAACAACCAACATCCGAACGTCCTTGATATAGCACTGCTAAAAGACATCCAACTGACTATTAATTCGATAGATACTATTATCAAGCTAGTCTCAGACCACAGGCCGGTCGTTTTACAATTGGGCCGGCCGGCAGGTGAGGTCCCTCAGACCAAAACTATTGTCGACTGGCGTAAACTTGAGGTCAAACTTAAGTCTACGAACTCCCAGCATTTGGACACTATACCTGACAAGATAGACTCGCTGGAGGAGGCCGATAGGGCGATTAGCGCCCTTTCGACTCACCTCGCATCAGCGGTCGAAGATTGCTCCCGTAAGGTTCGTGTGTCGAGCGATCAATACACGAAACTTCCGGCGGATGTTCGACGGCTGATTAGAGCGAAGAATTCCGCGCTTAAAACTTACGACCGCTACCGCACGGAAACCAATAAATTTCGGGTACGTTCTCTACAAAACGAGATTAAACAACGAGTAGCCGAGTTTAGAAACGATAGCTGGGATAACCTCTTAGAAGGTATCGAACCATCCCAAGACGCCTTCTGGAAACTAACGAGAGCTCTTAAAGCCGACAAATCCTCACCGATGCTGCCTCTCGTGAGGCTGGACCACCCCGATCTCGCCCTAGACGATCTCGAAAAAGCCGAATGCCTAGCCGACAGTCTAGAGTACCAGTGCACGCCATCCACTGCACCAATAGATCCCGCTCACCTATTAGAGGTAGAAACGGAAGTAGAACGTAGGTCTGCGCTGCCACCAGCGGGTGAACCACTCGATCCTGTCATAGTGGATGAAGTCACCGAAACCATAAAAAGTCTTAAAAATAGATCAGCCCCTGGGCCAGACGGCATCAGCAACAAGGTGATCAAATCCCTTTCGGCGCCACTTATTTGCCTCCTTGTAGAAATATTTAACACCTTTCTCACGAACTGCTCCTTCCTGTTTTCCAGATTCCAGTTTCCAGACATCTGGAAAGAAGCAGACGTAATAGGGATCCCAAAACCGGGTAAACCGCGTAATCGTCCCTCTAGCTACAGACCCATTAGCCTGCTCAACACTTTGGGCAAACTATACGAGCGCATCATTCATAAGCGTCTCCGTCATTATACCGAATCTAACGGACTCCTCCTAGACGAACAGTTTGGCTTTAGAGCCAATCAGTCATGCACCTACCAGATTCATCGCCTAACGAAATACATTCTGTCTGGCTTCAACCAAAACCCGATAAGGAAAAAGACACGAAACACGGGAGCCCTCTTCTTCGATGTCGCGAAGGCATTTGACAAGGTCTGGCACGACGGCTTGATTTACAAGCTGTACAAACTAAACGTGCCCGATAGGCTCGTGCACATCATTCCTTTCAAACCGCACTTTTCGATATCGAGTGGAGGGAACCCGTTCTTCGAAACGCTTTCTCAAGGCCGGGGTCCCACAGGGCTCCGTACTATCTCCAATCCTCTTCACACTCTTCACGAGTGATATCCCAAAAGACCCCGTAGTGAACACCGCTCTCTTTGCCGACGATACGGCACTCTTTGTGTCAGACTTCAACAAAAATAGACTCTCTATAAAGCTCCAAAAAGCGACCAATCGCCTTGGTGAATGGTTCCGCCTATGGAGAATTGACGTGATCCCGAAAGAAGTGTAGCGGTATACTTTCAACGGAATTCAACAGCAGGTTCTAAACCCAAAACAATCTCTTTATACGACCGCCCAATCCCTTGGGAAAAATCGGCCAAATACCTAGGCATCACGTTCGACTCCCGCATGAGATTCAAGACGCTCATAAGTGTAGTACGCAACAGAGCCAAGTCAATAATTGGCCGTCTACACCCTCTCGTTAACAGCAAGAGTAAGCTGTCGCTAAGACACAAATTCCGGCTGTACAAAACCTATGCAAGTGTAGCTTTCGCCCATACATATAAGACCCATATTTTAAAACTCCAAAGAGTACAAAACTTTTTCATCCGAAAAGCCACCGGTACACGGTGGTATCAACGGAACTCTGATTTACACAATGATTGTGAATTACCATCTATCTCCGAATATTTTAAGGAGATGTCCCAACGCTACTTTGATAGAGTAGAAACCCACCCCTAACCCGCTAGTGACAAACGCAGCTAACTACGTTCCGATAACAAACGTCGCGCCCTATCTCCGTAGACCGCGAAATGTGTTAATAGAAACACCTCAACCGCTCGATCCAGTCGACCCAAACGTCGCAGGCACATCACACAACGACACTACACCCACACTAAATGGGACAAACACTAATAGGACAACGAATGGGACGCGTTGCACCCGCAGACGGGCACGACGCGTTCCAGCTCACACCGCGTACACACCGTACACCCGCGTTCCTGGACGGTTCTCACCGCCCAGACCATCGACCGACACGAGCTGAGCAGTCAGAGACTACACCTCCTTTCTCGAACTATAAACTTACTAAAAAGTGGTCAATCGGAGTATTCTAGGGTTAATAGCATCGCTAGTTTCTTTTTAAGAAAAGGGGTAGTATTTTCAGCAGAAACATTTCCCGTTTTTGACCAAATTACATTGTAGTACGAGTATATTGTGTAACTCGGTGACTGTTGACATATCCGTGTCTGTTTTTCTCTTTTTTTTTATAGTGAGCACTTATTTTTACTGCTCTTAATTGTTTCTTTTTTATTCTTTCCTTAGTCTGTCATGTGCACGTGTTTCGAGAAGAAAGTTCTCTAGTCAACCGAAGACCGAATGACGGATGGATGAAGTGGTGACCTGGTAAGACATGCAAGAATAATGGATACAGATGGCTCAGGACCGTACTTTGCAGTATTATTTGGGGGTGGCCTATGTTCGGTAGTGGACTTAAGAAGGGCTGTAATAATGATGATGATGGTATTATTTTCACAGCAATTAACTCTATTTGGGTCATTTCTGTAAATCAGTGCCGGTTACCTTTCAGGGTTCTTTTCCAGCATTGGACGCATTTTCTCTAATACTTTGGTGACGTCACAAATGGTTGCGATGGCTCTGACTGCTTCTGCGATTTGGGGATTTGCGTACCACCAAGAAGCGTTCATCAAGGTATTAAAGTAGTTTTCTGTAGTCTAATTATTATTAGTGATGTAATTACTAACTGTATAATATAGTATAATGGACCCCTAGCTTTAAATCTCCGTCAGAGCGAATGTATGTACCAAACCGTACATTATTAGTTATCTAATCTGTCATAAAGAATATGGAATAATATGATGGTTTAATTACTATTTTTAACTGCAATAATAGTAAAATTAATAGTTAATTGCTTTATGTACCGAATTTTTCAGTTTGATGATGTGGACTTTTGTGAGGTTTTTGATAAGGTTTATTATTTCATTTTAGAAAGCTTTTGATTCGGTCGAAATTTGGGCGGTGCTGTAGTACCTTCAGCGGTGCCAAGTTGACTGTCGAAGTGCTGAAGTGTTTGTACAGTAGGGCTACGGCTATTCTCTAACTCGAAGTTTTTTTTAAATGTTACAGGCAAAATACAACCTACAGTTGGATAGGAATATTGCGGTAAACTATGCTGAGATACTACGTTTACACGTGGTCGTTTTTGTAGTTGTGGTGAGTTAATATTATCTTATTATAAAAGCAATCTTGAACATGTGGTGGATGACCTTTTTTACCGTCTGAAAAAAATGGGTGTAACATGCGAACGGTATAGAAAACTATGACACGGATATTTTACAAAAAAAAAAATACAAAAATAAAATAAATAAATAAATTTAAGAGCCCTCTTACATTTGAGCGTTACGCAAATTTAGGTATTTTACGCTCCGAGCGGGCGATGACCTACGCGAGCGATTTTTTTTTTCATATGTCTATTCACTCGCTCGCACTATGGTACTGTGAGTATAGCGACTAAACGATCTTGATCTTCCATTATACAAGTTTTCTTAGGATGGAGTTCTTCTCTCTCTGTAGAATCTTGCAAGATACATACTTCAAGCCGCTGAAGAAGATTGGTCAGTTTTTACCATCAGTCAAGTGTAATGTCCCTCTGCAAGATGCAGGAGTGTACAAGCTTGATTGTGAATGTGGTCTCTCCTACATAGGACAAACTAAAAGATCAATTAAAACCCGCGTTAAAGAACATATAGCTGATGTGAAGAATCGACGCTCCGGGAAGTCTGCAGTCTGTGAACGCCACAGAACACGTACAGGATCGCCCCCGTCACAACATCAGATTTGATAGACCACAAATCCTCGCTAAAGAACACCAATTCCTTCCAAGGATGATTCGCGAGGCTATTGAAATCAAAAAACATCCTAATTTCAATAGAGAAGATGGCTGGGTGCTACCATCTGCTTGGGATCCTATAATAAATAAAATTAAATTCCAACCCAAGCATACAACTGCAAGACTTCAAGATACCATAAGTTCATACTGTGTAGATCGGAACAAAAGTTAAATTTTAATCTATGGTAACCGCGGTTAACTATGACATCTGGACGTTGAACATCTCAGTCCCGCCCGTGACCATGAGTGCTGTAAAGCGTTCGAAACGTCAGGTATTTAAAAAGTTAAATATACGCGATAAATTCCGTAAAAACTAGTATTATTTCAATGTGTAGTGTTCGCGTAAATATAAGAAATCATTATGTAAACCTGATTAGTTTTAATATTTATTCTTTTTATATATTTATTTTTAATGTTATAATTTTTGATTTATTAATAAAATATTCATAATATTTTTTTTCTTATTAATAAAATATTTAGCAAGAAAAATATATTTTTAATATTGATCTATATAAAAGAGAATAAATCTTTTAAACATTACACTTTTTAAGTGAATAAAATGTTTTACATGTTCAAATATTTTAGAAATACTATAGTTAGTTGCTGTCTTTGTTAATGCGGAAGCTGTATTACCACAGATTTTAAAGTTACGTTACGTTTTCTGAAAAAACAATACAGAAAAAAAGCGCCTAAAAGATTTTTGCTATATTAAGATCCATAAAAATTGATTTAACTCAGTTTTGAATTTAATTATTTTTAGTTCTTGGGTGTGAAGTTTGGGCCACCAATGATGCAAAAAATAGAAAAGAAAAAAATGTTGAGCATTATAATTAAAGCAAATGCCTTGATGATACCCGCTTATATTGCATCAGGCGCTCTCTCTTGTACGACAGGCAACGTTGCAGGCTTAGAGAAGGATAGCTATTCGCAATCACAATGCAGTCAAACGTGCGGGTGAGCCAATACAAATTTAATATAAGTAATCATTGTGTCATTATTTTGAGTTGTTATCAGGCGAACGTGTGACGAAAGCGTTACGAAAAGTGTGATCGGGGGAGGCAAACGGGAGTTGAGTGGGGGATATAAGCAAGAGAGAGCAGTGCGCGCGCATATTTTCTTTCTCTCTTTTTCTCATAGCCAGTTAGTTTTGTTCAATACATTAAATATTCTACGTTTAAAATGAATAAAATTGTAAATTCATTATAGAGTTCACGTTTAGTGAATTTTCGGGGAAAATAATAACAAATTATGGACGGAAGCCGATAATAAATTTAAATATTTGTAGAAAATTAATATATATATATATATATATATATATATATATATATATATATCACATCATGAGCCATGAGCACACTCGTTTTTTAGTTTTTTTTTTTATTTCTATATAAAAAATAAGGGTGACAAACAAGCATATAGTCCACCTGATGGTAAGTGGTTACTGCGGCCCTTAGACATCTACATCTATCCTCGATTAGGACTAAGATGGATGTCTCGTAACCAGTAAAAAGGGTCTCCGGTTCTCTACACTCACCATACAAAACACAGCAGCATTGAGCTGCTATTTTACGCTGGTACTCTGTGCGAGCGTGGACCTTTCCCAGTTGAATCGACCCATTCGTGATACAAACATAATATAGCTGTAGTATGTCGCTACCACATAAAAAATTGCTACCTTAAATGCAGATTTCTCACGCATTCGGTAATGAACCTAAATTATCCGGGACATTTATGGAAGATTTAACATAATATCTGAAAATTAACATTTATGTGAGATCAATTTATAATGAAGCAACTTGATGGAATGGAGAACCATTATCGTCTCAGAAATGCGAGGAGGCCTGGTTCCAATAGCATTTCTTATTTTTTATGTGTTGTATTTTTAGGTGCGACATCGAATGGCCAGAATTTTTACCTGTCTGCGTTGACCAGGTAGTAACCTACTTGTCGCCGTGTCACGCTGGATGCTCGGGCTTTGAGTCCATAGGCGGGGTACAGTAAGTATAACGATCAACTGCGGTTTTTCAAATCCTATACCTTTAAACGAGCAATTCTTGTATATATATATATATATATATATATATATATATATATATATATATAATCGGAATCTCGGAAACGGCTCCAACGATTTTCATAAAATTCAGTGACCGGGGAGTTTCGGGGGTAATAAATCGATCTAGCTAGGGTTTATTTTTAGAAAATGTCATTTTGTCTGTATTTTCAGGCAATGAAAAACTGCTACAATATAAGAAGGTAAATTTTGACACTGTATTAATGATCGTAATAGCTCAAGTGGATATCTGACCGTCGCGAAATCGTAGTGCCCTGGTTCGCGTCCTGTCTTCGGTCCGACTTTTTTCCTTTTTTTTTCAAGTTCCCTTTTTTTGTGAGAAAATCTATTATTTCGAGCCCCTTTTTTAGTATTTTTCGCTATTTACAGTTCTTTACAAGTATGTTCCTTTTGCAACCAAGCAGTGGAAACATGTCTTGCCATAGACGGTAATGTAATATATACATCCTAGTTAGACTGGTGGTGGATGTAGTGATAGCAATGATAAGGCACGATTGGTTATTTGACATTGATATCAACTGAAAAACTTTTATGAGCTGTTAAACTTTTTACTATGTCGTAATTTTTTATCTATTAGTCATACATGCAGTGTCTGTTTTTTATATTTAATTTACTGTGTATCTCATTGTAAGTAAAACTCTGTTTCTTACTCGTATGAGAAATAAATTCTCTAAACCTAAAACAAACTTGACTATAGAAAATGTATATGATAGTAGGGTGCAATGACCATATTCCTGAAATGGATAACCAAATTGTATGTGTACTTATTTATAAACCGTGGCGTATCGAAATATAATAATTATAATATATTCCCGAAGTTTAGAGTACTGTACGAGTACGGGACGTATGACGGGAGGGGACGTATGACGGGAGAGGGGGGGACTAGTTCAACTATGGCCACGGGTGCTGTTATTAACTAGGTGTAAGCTAATATACGTCAGTCACCGCAGAGTCTACTTCACCTGTGAATACCTCATTTAGAGAGGTCACGAATCACGATCACGAAACACGTGTCGTATGGTCAACGGTGGCGTATCGTTCTTAGTGTAGTGGTGTCGAGACTAGTGATAAGGAGGGATAGTGCACGTAATTGATGAGTGTAGAGAATGTAGAGAACCGAATACCCTTTTTGCTGGAAACGAGGCATTTTATGTTGAGGACCAAACGCATATGTTTATCTCAAAGGATCCATAAAGGGAAACCTTTAAAGTTTTAAAAGCTATACTTTTCACTTTCAAATAAAGTTTTACTTAGAAAGACTTATAAAAAAAAGGTCTGACATCACCTGCATTATTGATATGAATAGAAGTTGACCTGTTATTCTGCCGTCCAAATTCTAATATATTTTTAAGTAACTCTCGGTTGATTTTGAGTAAAGCGACATAATATATACGTAACACACAAGCGCATTTTATTACAAGGATCTTAGATAATTAATTTTTAACATATTTAATATTATCCTTTATGTCGGGTGCGTTTTGAGTGGAAAGTCAATCGTTATACAGTTACCTGTTTTGCCTATAGGTTGTACACGAATTGCACTTGCGCTTCGTTAACCAGCCGCGCTACTAGTGGGTCCTGCAGTGATAGTTTATGCAGAGGAATATTCGGACTGCATGAGTTACTCTATACAGTGATACTCTCAGGTTCTGGTAAGCTATTTGCACAGAGTACTTTTTATAAACTGGTTATTTGATTCGCTAGCTTCGCCTGGATTGGATCTATTAAGGCGCTATTACTCCTAACGAAAGACCTTGAGCGTTCGGTCCTATACAATCCACGCGCTTTCGCTACAATATATCGCGTAAGAAATACGCCCAAATTTTAAAATATTTTCTTTATAAACGAATTTTAATCCTTTGAAAAAATTAAATAGATCAAAATGTTTATTAATAAATTGCCTATCCATTAGCGTTAATCGCAAAATAAAATAATGCTTACTTTATGAGGAGATGCATGTACCAATAATTTCGCATTTCTGTGGTTTAGTTGTAGGAATATTCAACAAGTATTTACTCCTTTAAAAAAATTGGAATTAGCTATTATCGAATCAAGATGATTAAGAAATTTAATAAATTTTTTATTAATTGATATATCTTTTTAATGACAAGTAGATAGCTTTTAAAAACCTCTCAAATAACGACTAGCTCGGCATTTTTCTCAAACATGCTCTTTAATGCATTTTTAAAATAGAATAGAATAGAATAATTTTTTATCTTAATATGTATAAATTACGTGTCACGTTGTTTGTCCGCGATGGAACTCTTACTTAACCGATTTTAATAAAATTTGCACACTTGGTCCAACTTGAGAGATAGGATAGTTTTTTGCCCACAAATTTTTTTGCGAATTTAAGGATTTTTAACAATACATTACAAATTGTCGGCCAAAAGGGCAGAACAACAACTGCCTGGCAAGCTAGTTCAATACAGATTACAAATAATTCTTATCAATACCACTCTTTCTTTACCACTGGTTAGAAAAAATACCTCCGTCATGGGAAGAATCAGCAAGAAACCCAGCGGGACTTTAAAAAAATTACAATGTCAATGGTTACAAAATGAATACAAAATTTATTTTAGAAACAGCTTGGAAGTGACCACCTCATTCCCAGGGGTTATTATCAACCATGTATTCATTTATATCATAATAACCCTTTTTATACAGTTTTTGTTTAATTAAATATTTTAACTTGGTTATAGAGAGACCTTGTATATTTTCTGGGACTTTGTTGTAATAGCGTATACATTGCCCCAAGAATGAATCACTGATTCTGTGGAGTCTAGAAACTGGTATCACTAGCTTGTGCATTCATATTTCATCACTAGCTTATGTATTCATCAACATTACTTAGATTCTTCACTAGCTTGTGTATTCATCAACATTACTTAGATTCATCACTAGCTTGTGTGTTCATCAACATTACTTAGATTCATCACTAGCTTGTGTATTCATCAACATTACTTAGATTCATCACTAGCTTGTGTATTCATCAACATTACTTAGATTCATCACCAGCTTGTGTATTCATCAACATTACTTAGATTGTCATCACCAGCTTGTGTATTCATCAACATTACTTAGATTCATCACCAGCTTGTGTATTCATCGACATTACTTAGATTCATCACTAGCTTGTGTATTCATCGACATTACTTAGATTCATCACCAGCTTGTGTATTCATCAACATTACTTAGATTCATCACCAGCTTGTGTATTCAACAACATTACTTAGATTCTTCACTAGCTTGTGTATTCATCAACATTACTTAGATTCTTCACTAGCTTGTGTATTCATCAACATTACTTAGATTCATCACTAGCTTGTGTATTCATCAACATTACTTAGATTCATCACTAGCTTGTGTATTCATCAACATTACTTAGATTCATCACAAGCTTGTGTATTCATCAACATTACTTAGATTCATCACTAGCTTGTGTATTCATCAACATTACTTAGATTCATCACTAGCTTGTGTATTCATCAACATTACTTAGATTCATCACTAGCTTGTGTATTCATCAACATTACTTAGATTCATCACTAGCTTGTGTATTCATCAACATTACTTAGATTCATCACTAGCTTGTGTATTCATCAACATTACTTAGATTCATCACCAGCTTGTGTATTCATCAACATTACTTAGATTCATCACTAGCTTGTGTATTCATCAACATTACTTAGATTCATCACTAGCTTGTGTACTCATCAACATTACTTAGATTCATCACTAGCTTGTGTACTCATCAACATTACTTAGATTCATCACTAGCTTGTGTATTCATCAACATTACTTAGATTCATCACTAGCTTGTGTATTCATCAACATTACTTAGATTCATCACTAGCTTGTGTATTCATCAACATTACTTAGATTCATCACTAGCTTGTGTATTCATCAACATTACTTAGATTCATCACTAGCTTGTGTATTCATCAACATTACTTAGATTCATCACTAGCTTGTGTATTCATCAACATTACTTAGATTCATTACCAGCTTGTGTATTCATCAACATTACTTAGATTCATCACTAGCTTGTGTATTCATCAACATTACTTAGATTCATCACTAACTTGTGTATTCATCAACATTACTTAGATTCATCACTAGCTTGTGTATTCATCAACATTACTTAGATTAATCACTAGCTTGTGTATTCATCAACATTACTTAGATTCTTCACTAGCTTGTGTATTCATCAACATTACTTAGATTCATCACCAGCTTGTGTATTCATCAACATTACTTAGATTAATCACCAGCTTGTGTATTAATCAACATTACTTAGATTCATCACTAGCTTGTGTATTCATCGACATTACTTAGATTCATCACTAGCTTGTGTATTCATCAACATCACTTAGATTCATCACTAGCTTGTGTATTCATCAACATTACTTAGATTCATCACTAGCTTGTGTACTCATCAACATTACTTAGATTCATCACCAGCTTGTGTATTCATCAACATTACTTAGATTCATCACTAGCTTGTGTATTCATCAACATTAATTAGATTCATCACTAGCTTGTGTATTCATCAACATTACTTAGATTCATCACTAGCTTGTGTATTCATCAACATTACTTAGATTCATCACTAGCTTGTGTATTCATCAACATTACTTAGATTCATCACTAGCTTGTGTATTCATCAACATTACTTAGATTCATCACTAGCTTGTGTATTCATCAACATTACTTAGATTCATCACTAGCTTGTGTATTCATCAACATTACTTAGATTCATCACTAGCTTGTGTACTCATCAACATTACTTAGATTCATCACTAGCTTGTGTACTCATCAACATTACTTAGATTCATCACTAGCTTGTGTACTCATCAACATTACTTAGATTCATCACTAGCTTGTGTATTCATCAACATTACTTAGATTCATCACTAGCTTGTGTATTCATCAACATTACTTAGATTCATCACTAGCTTGTGTATTCATCAACATTACTTAGATTCATCACCAGCTTGTGTATTCATCAACATTATTTAGATTCATCACAAGCTTGTGTATTCATCAACATTACTTAAATTCATCACTAGCTTGTGTATTCATCAACATTACTTAGATTCATCACCAGCTTGTGTATTCATCAACATTACTTAGATTCATCACTAGCTTGTGTATTCATCAACATTACTTAGATTCATCACTAGCTTGTGTATTCATCAACATTACTTAGATTCATCACTAGCTTGAGTATTCATCAACATTATTTAGATTAATCACTAGCTTGTGTATTCATCAACATTACTTAAATTCATCACTAGCTTGTGTATTCATCAACATTACTTAGATTCATCACCAGCTTGTGTATTCATCAACATTATTTAGATTCATCACTAGCTTGTGTATTCATCAACATTACTTAGATTCATCACTAGCTTGTGTATTCATCAACATTACTTAGATTCATCACTAGCTTGTGTATTCATCAACATTACTTAGATTCATCACTAGCTTGTGTATTCATCAACATTACTTAGATTCATCACTAGCTTGTGTATTCATAAAAATTACTTAGATTCATCACTAGCTTGTGTACTCATCAACATTACTTAGATTCATCACTAGCTTGTGTACTCATCAACATTACTTAGATTCATCACTAGCTTGTATATTCATCAACATTACTTAGATTCATCACTAGCTTGTGTATTCATCAACATTACTTAGATTCATCACTAGCTTGTGTATTCATCAACATTACTTAGATTCATCACTAGCTTGTGTATTCATCAACATTACTTAGATTCATTTACTAGCTTGTGTACTCATCAACATTACTTAGATTAATCACTAGCTTGTGTATTCATCAACATTACTTAAATTCATCACTAGCTTGTGTATTCATCAACATTACTTAGATTCATCACCAGCTTGTGTATTCATCAACATTATTTAGATTCATCACTAGCTTGTGTATTCATCAACATTACTTAGATTCATCACTAGCTTGTGTATTCATCAACATTACTTAGATTCATCACTAGCTTGTGTATTCATCAACATTACTTAGATTCATCACTAGCTTGTGTATTCATCAACATTACTTAGATTCATCACTAGCTTGTGTATTCATCAACATTACTTAGATTCATCACTAGCTTGTGTACTCATCAACATTACTTAGATTCATCACTAGCTTGTGTACTCATCAACATTACTTAGATTCATCACTAGCTTGTGTATTCATCAACATTACTTAGATTCATCACTAGCTTGTATATTCATCAACATTACTTAGATTCATCACTAGCTTGTGTATTCATCAACATTAGTTAGATTTATCACTAGCTTGTGTATTCATCAACATTACTTAGATTCATCACTAGCTTGTTTATTCATCAACATTACTTAGATTCATCACTAGCTTGTGTATTCATCAACATTACTTAGATTCATCACTAGCTTGTGTATTCATCAACATTACTTGGATTCATCACTAGCTTGTGTATTCATCAACATTACTTAGATTCATCACTAGCTTGTGTATTCATCAACATTACTTAGATTCATCACTAGCTTGTGTATTCATCAACATTACTTAGGTTCATCAGTAGCTTGTGTATTCATCAACATTACTTGGATTCATCACTAGCTTGTGTATTCATCAACATTACTTAGATTCATCACCAGCTTGTGTATTCATCAACATTACTTAGATTCATCACTAGCTTGTGTATTCATCAACATTACTTAGATTCATCACTAGCTTGTGTATTTATCAACATTACGTAGATTAATCAGTGTTTCGGTTTTTTGTGACGGTGTCATGTCCCAGTTTTTTAGATAAAAAATAGCCGAGATAACACCTGGCATTGCTCTATATCTATCTATCGGTTTCTGGTTCTAAAAGTCCACTGCGGAACCACTTCCCGACGCCTCATAAAGGGCATTTTGCCGATGTTACCACGGTTGGCAGGCAAAAAATATTTTGACTTTGACTATGATTTGTTTCAGCATTAGCTTTCCAAGCGCACGGCATGGTGATGCTGCGTTCGTTTGATAATCGCGACAAGTCTGTTCTTGTGGGCATGATCAATAGCGCCATCGCACTTATTGCATTTTGTTGCGGACATCTCGTATTTTTTGGGGTTAGCGGTAAGCTGATGTTTTTACTTTTTAGATTTCAACCTAGCTGTTGCCTAATACAACAAGCAACACATAAAATTAAATTAGATGGCCGCCTATGAGGCGGATTTTGTGTTTCACTCTACTTACAGTTTACCGAAAACCAGGAAGCAAAGTAGGAGAGTTACGCACAAAACACTCTTTGCACCACAACAATCTTCCGATAAATTACGAAAAACTGCGTAAAATAATCTACTACCTTATATCATCCCGTGGGTATTTAGAGGCGACATGGGGAATTTTACACATAAGATGGGCTATGGAAAACTACCATTCAGAATCCGTGGTGACTATAGAAAATGTCACCCCTATGTTCAGACGAAATAATTTTTTTTTATTTCGTCTGAGCCTCTATGTTGCAATCTTTTTTTTATAGAATAAGAGTAATAAACGAGCACACAGGTCACCAGGTGGTAAGTGGTTGCTGTAGGCCATAGACATCAACATCTATCCGCGATTAAGAATCAAAATGCAGATGCGTTGTCACCCGTGAGGACTGGATGTAGACGTGGGCGTTATTTCACGTCACTAGATACAGTAACTAGACGTGGGCGTTATTTCACGTCACTAATACAGTAACTGGTTACGCGGCATGTAACCGAATCACTAGTTTCGAGTCATGTTACAAGTAGTGATTTTTGTAAATGCGTGATTATGATTACTGTTAACAATGATTATTGCGGGAGTCGACTGTCGGTCGGCGAGCGCAAAGCGCACATGTGGCATACAACAATAAACAAAACATCGTAAGTAACAGTATTATTGTACGTTTAATTTTCATACGTAAGACTATAGATATAGACAATTAAATAGAGTAATCTCTGTTTGTAAATAATTTCAACGGCTTGCGATTCCAGGAAGCAAGTCACATTGAATTTAACTAAAATAATTTTAAAAACATTTTTGACGGAGTCATGAACTCGTTTATTCATAAAATTAAAATAAAACTAAAAAATGTGTATAAAAATTTAAATGGTTATCATAATATAAAACTTAAAAACTGTGTGTAAATAACCAAACAAACAAATTAATTGTACAGTGTAAATAAAAGTGCAAAAACAAATGATAGTGAAAACGTTGAAAAAGTGTAAATAAACTGTAAATATCAATAATCATTGTATATACAATCAAATTGACTTGTAAATATGCCTGCATTAATAATTTTATGAAAATCTTAGTGTATACATTAATACATTTAATGCAGTCAGTCCTAAACCAGAATAAAGTATGAAGGGAAGTTAATTTATTGATTTAACAGTATACAGTTACTGTATAGCTACAAACACAGATTGTGATTTTATTTTCGTTTCGAGTGTAACTGTATAGTTGGTGGTGATATTTATGCTAACAATCACAGTAGCCGAATAAAAATAGCCAGTTATAAAAATCACTAGTTTTGAAACAGGTGACGCCGATCAAGTCACTGGTTTCGTTACTGAGATGAAATGCTATCCAGTAAAAAAGGTCTCCAGTTGCCTGTTTATTTTGCTGAAATTATAATTTACTATTTGATTTAAACACAACTGTTTCCTAGTCCGTACATAATGGCATTGCACTTTACGATCAGCATGTGGCCTTAAAAGGAAAAGGGGAGATCTCCCACCGGGCAAGGTGTTCTGCCCGGGGAGCGGCCAACGCTCCGAGTGATAGTTCGGAGAAGTTCTATATATACTGTCTATGATTCGGAATGTTGATAGCGCGATTTAGGCTTCGGTGTGTTTCGGTGTGCTAGTGGCGCGACGACAGCGCCGCTACAAGCATCATTCTTGCTGTATTTATAAATTTTTCGATTTCATTTTATGATTGTTTTCTGACAGTAAGCTTTAATTTTACGTTCACCGTACGAAATATTATTGTAGTATTTGGTACGAAATACACTAGTTAGGTAAACATTTTATCATAGCAATTTATGTTAAAGTCAAACGTCAATATCATACAATTATTTTTATTAAGACATTGGCCTGGATTCTTGGTTTTTAAGCCATATCTTCATTTCATTTGTCATACAATTTCTGTATTTTAACCATTAGATTGTATTCAATTGTAGCGTTTTATTCTCATTTTGATCTTTTCGTAATTATTAATATATTTTATATTAAATGTACAATATACTCTTGTGCCTTGTATAAATGTAAAATAGTAAACGATCACGGCCTTACTTATAATTGTTGTTTATCGCTTACCTAAGTTAGTCATTAACATTATAATATATGTCTTTCTATTGTCCTTTGTTGTATAGAAGATGAGCACAACATTAACTATCTTTTAATTTGACCAAGTGAAATATGAGTAAGACATCATTGGACTGTTTAAAACATTTGTGCTAATCTTCTTTTTATATGTAAACTTGATTAATAATTTTTAAGGCAGACCGGCAGGTAAAACAAATAGTAATTAATTAACTTTTTATATTTCATAATAGTTTCATTATTTTAATATTTATATTTATAAATATAGTATTTAGTATATATAAAATTTATTACATATATAGGTATACATTTATATTATACAACATTATTTATTATTACATATACCCTATATAATTATTTTTTAATATAGATTTTTTAATAATATATAATAATAATAGATTAAATGTCATCGGATGAAGACTCATTTTATTCTGCATGTTCTTCTCTTAACATTACCTCAGCCGCAGACGATTCTTTTATTGATAACGTGGGTAATTATTTGCACACGGAATTTGCCTTTACAAATTGTTTAAATGTATGCCATATAAAGGCTCAAAGCATCCCTGCCCATTACTCAGATCTACTTGACACATTTTCCTCACCATACATCCATGCTATACTTATCTCAGAGTCCTGGCCAAAACCCTCCCTATCCTCCACGTTGTACAGTCTTCCTGGATTTGTACTTATACGTTTTGGTCGCACTGGCAAAGGTGGAGGTGGCGTAGCCATTTACTTGGGATCGGAATATGCATATGATGTCATTGCAATATCACCATTAGAATATAGAGGATCTGCTGAGTACCTATTTCTAGAATTGAAAATTAAAGGTTTGAGGGTCGTGCTCGGAGTTGTTTACTGCCCTCCTTCAACTGATTATTTTTCCCATATTGAATCGGTGATCGACTTCATCAGCACTGATAACAAACATATTATAATAATGGGTGATTTCAACACCAACTTGATAAAGGATTCTCCTCAGAGTCGCAAACTTAAAGCCATCATGGACTCGGCAGATCTCTATATTCTACCATCTGGTCCAACTCACCACAACGTGGACACCGAAGATTCATGGTTAGACATCATTTGCACCAGTTCAGCGGATCATGTTATATATCATGATCAACTGACTGTTCCCACGTTTTCTCGACACGATCTTTTGGTCATGTCGTATAAATTAAAGCCTCCCAAGCCAAAGCCAGTGATTGTGTATTTACGCAATTTCAATAAAATTGACACCATTCGACTACACCGCGATGCTAAGAATATAGAATGGGGCCCATTGCTGGATGCAAATAATATTGAAGACAAAATTGCTCATTTGAACACCCAAATTCTCAACCTATTCGATAGGCACGCACCAGTTCGAGCAGTCAGGTTACGCCGACCTTCCCCCCCGAACGGGTTCCCGCCTTGTCGTGGCGGGGGGGCTTAGTAGCCGTGGCTTGGTCTCCCACGGTGAACAAAGAGGAACCCACGTGGCTGGCCCGAGGTGAAGGGCCGGCCTGAGGTGGCCACTCGGAGTGGGCTTGGGGAGCCCACTTCGGATGTGTGCTGGTGGACTGCAGCGGGTGGGGACTCCACACCCTCTACCGCTGCAGCCGAGGTGGAGTCGCGGAGGAAGAGGAGTGTTGGTATGGCGATGCGCCACTCGCCCTATCCTCCGCGACTCAAACGGGGCCGCACCGTTGATGCGGTGGTGATGGGGCTGCGGGGGGGAGAGGATTGTCGGTATTGCGAGGCGCCGCTCTCCCTATCCTCCGCAGCCGAATCTTGGTTGGCGGCGGAGCCATAGACCAGATCCGCCGCTGGGGTCGGGAAGGCTAGTACTTCTAAGTGCTCGTTTTTCCTGGCCCCATGGCCTTCGCGCATCGGACGCGGGGGCGTCTGTTGCGCAGATGTAATTGGAGGCCGTGGAGGAAGGCGTGCCATGTGTTTTGGTGCGCCTTACTTGGGAAGAAGAATGGGGAGGAATATTCCTCTACCGAGGAGGTGCTGCCATGGGGCGGCAGTCGCTGGTAGGGCCGCGGATGTGTGCGATAGCGTTCCCGTAGCCCTGCCAATATGCGAGGAATGGGGATCTGCATGGGGTTTTAGTCGGTGCGAGTCCGACATTACCCGTCCTTGCCCCCGCGAGGCGGTTATGCGTAGGCATTTCCCCATGTAAAAAAAAAATAGGTTACGCCGACCTCCTGCACCGTGGATAACTGACGAAGTGCGTAAAGCAATGAGAAGAAGAGATCGAGCTTTTCACATTTAAAAAAAGAGTTGGAACAGTTCCACCTTTCAACAATACAAGCGAGCACGAAACCGCTGTAATCAGGTGGTGAGAACAGCCAAACGCCGCTACTTCCGCAATAGTATTTCAAACTCCTCTTCTGCAGATACATGGAAGTTCCTTAAATCCCTGGGATTTGGAAAATCACATTCCAGTTCTCTAATCCCAAATATTTCACTCAATAACTTGAACATACACTTCTCTGCTGCATCACGTCTGCATTTGTCCACCAAAGCTACGACTCTCCAAGAACTTAATTCCATGCCTTTGTTATCATGTAATCCTTTCGACTTCGTTCAGTGACTGACGATGATACTAGAAAAGCCATACTTTCAATAAAATCTTCCGCAACCGGCTATGATGAGGTGTGATGATAGTTCTCATACTCGATATTATTACTCCAGTTCTCACTAACATCTTCAATTTCTCCCTCTCTACTGGTATTTTCCCCAAGTTATGGCTAAAAGCTTTTATCTTGCCTCTTGATAAAGTACCCAATCCATCCCTACCCTCCCATTTTAGACCTATTTCTATATTGCCGTTTCTTTCCAAAGTCCTTGAATCATTGGTACACAAACAAGTCACCTCTTTCATTTCGAAATGCAACTACCTTAGTACATATCAATCTGGCTTCCGCCCGGGACATAGTACCACCACAGCGTTACTTCAAGTTACAGAAGATTTTAGAGAGGGCATGGAGAGGTCATGTTTGACTGTTCTGGTCCTTATTGACTTTTCAAACGCATTTGTGTCGATCACGACTTACTCCTTGGATTACTTTCACGCCTAAACTTCTCATCAGTACTGAACTGGTTTTCCTCTTATCTTCACGGTCGCCAGCAGGCTGTTCGGGCTGATCAGGATTTTTCTGACTGGTGCGATCTATATCTAGGTGTACCGCAAGGCGGCATTCTCTCTCCTCTCTTGTTTTCGTTGTTTATCAATCTTCTAACTACCCACCTTCAATGTTCTTACCACCTCTATGCTGATGATCTTCAGTTATACTCACAAGCGTCCTCGGTTGAAATTGCTACCGCTATTGCAGCTATTAATCAGGACTTAAAACGCATTTCAGACTGGTCACAGCGATTTGGTATAAAGGTAAATCCCAGTAAATGCCAGGCTATTATCATTGGTAGTCGTCGATTGGTGTCACAACTTAACATACCTGATCTACCATCCATTCGCTACGAAAACTGTGTAATTCCTTTCCGCACTAGTGTCAAGGATCTGGGTTTAATTATTGACCCGACCCTTAGTTGGAGGTTACAGGTGTCCGAGATTTGTCGTAAAGTCACAGGCATTCTTCGTTTCATCATCGTCTTAAGTTCTTTCTGCCTCCTTCAACTAAGCTTCTTCTCATCCAATCTCTAATTCTTCCATTATTTGACTATGCCGATGTTTGTCTTTCTAATATCTCTCAGGAGCTGCTAAGCAGGTTGGACAGGTAACTTAACAACTGCATACGATTCATTTTTGGCCTGCGCAAATACGATCACGTATCAGAATTTCGCTCCCAATTAAAGTTGTTGACTATACGCCAGCGCAGAGATGTTCGAATGCTGTCCTCTCTGTTTTCAGTTCTTAATGATTCTTCCTCACCCCTTTACCTAAAAGAAAGATTCCAATTCCGTAGTGACACTCATTCTCTCAATCTCCGATCTTCACACAATTTATTACTGTCTACCCTCTCCACCATTCTGGGTTTATGTCAAATTCTTTCACATTAACTTCCATCTCCCTCTGGAACAAATTGCCTGTTGACCTGCGAATAATACCTGCTAAAAACGTTTTTAAAAGAAAACTATACGAATATATCCGTAAGAGTTTCGTATCCGTTGAGTCCACTGACTTTATATGTTTATAGTTATTTGTATATAAGTTTATGGATATATATGTGTATATATATATATATATATATATATATATATTTGTTTATATATATATATATATATATATATATATATATGTATGTGTAGCATGTACATTTTTGAATTGAATGTGATCATGACAACTTTACTGCCCATAACTCACTCTCTGTTCTACCTAAGGTTAGCTGGTAGAGAATGCCATATAGCATTAAGCTCGCCTTTTGTACAAAATCTTTGGTGCAATAAAGAATAAAAGAAATAAATAAATAAACACACACATTTCTTAGATTATCACTTTCAATTTCTTGTTCCAGCTGGTACTTGCAATTGGTATGAGAACGGCAGGTGTGTACTGCAGAACAAAACGTTTCCGTTTGTAGTGGGCGCCGTGTGCGCCACCATTGTGCTGTTCTCCTTACTAATCACCATCACCACCGTTGTCTTCATGAACAAGGCGGAAAAACGAGCGAAGGTCGTACCACCTATAGAAGAGGAGGCTATACCTCCAAATGTTACTGAAATGTAGATAATTATAACTAGTAAAATGTTCAATGATTTCTCATATTTACGCGAACACTACACATTAAATGAATGTATTTTTTTACGGATTTTATTGCGTTTAATTTAACTTTTTAATACTTTTTTCATGCGTTCAGTGCGTAGATCCTACTAAAAATTAATATCAAAAACTGAAGGAAGCCGGGCTAACTAAGACATCGGGACGTCAAACATCTCGGTCCCCCCGTGACCATGGGTGCTGCACCCGAAACGCCGGGAATTAAAAAGTTAAATTAAACGCGATAAAATCCGTAAAAATTAGTTTCATACAACAATAAAATGTTTATCTGTACATGGGATACATTTAACACGAGTTATAAGACATAAGTCACTGGTATATGACATAAATTATAAAACACATATGGCGCGAGTCATACTTTCAATATGAAAATATATCTGGATACTTGGCGGTACATTACTGTGCGCTTTACTATATAGAAGTTTTCTTCCTCGTACAAGCTCTGTGTGGAATCGTTTACCACCGGCTATTCATCCGAACCGATACGACTTAGAGACCTACAAGAAAAGAGCTCACTCCTTTCTAAAAGGCCGGCAACGCACCTGTGATTCCCCTGGTGTTGCGGTTGTTCATGGGCGGTGGTAGTCACTTACCATCAGGTGAGCCGCATGCCTGTTTACATAGTTGTAGCACGAATGGATCGGCTCAACCGGGGAAGGACCACGCTCTCACAGAATAATGCTGTTATGTCTCATATGGTGAGTGTAGAGAACCGGAGACCCTTTTTACTGGAAACGAGGCATTTCATCTTAGTCCTCACGGGTGACAACGCATCTGCATTTTGATTTGTAATCGAGGATAGATGTAGATGTCTATGGGCCACAGCAACCACTTACCATCAGGTGGACTGTGTGCTCGTTTGTCATCCTATCTTATAAAAAAAGTGTCTGCCTGTAATACTGAAATAACTGGCTTCTCATAAGCTCAAAGGGTTATTTACATGTTATTAAGAAATGAATAACCCTTTTTGAAATTTTCGTTTCTCTATGTGTCTTTGTGTCTGTTTGAGCTAATCTTCGAATTGGCTGAACCGATTGTGATACAACTTTACAACCAGATAGAGAACAATGCCAGGAAACAGCTAGGCTAGCTATTTCCTCTTTAAAAGAAAAGGAAACAATAATAAAATTTAAATGACGCCACGTTACAAAAGGCAAAGACGCCCCGTGGACGCTAGTAAACAATAATATTTTTTAACAGAAGAATCATTGCTAACTCGCTCATCGTTACATCGAATCAATACTACACTTTTAACGTGGTAGGGCCGTAAAGTTATAGCCTATATACGTCCCACAGGCCTCCTCTCATTTCTGAGAGGGTTTTGGGGCAAGTAAGTGTCCGCCACGCTGTCCACGCGTATTGGCGATATTCACATATCTTCGAAATATTTTTTTCTTATTTCTCAGACATGCAGGTTTCCTCACGATGTTTACCTTCACTGTCGAGCACGTAGTAAATCAGCACTTAAAATTGTAACTAACAATTAGTACCGGGGGGGGGGGGGGGTCGAACATGGATTACTCGCGTACTGTGAAATTTACAGCGAGCGCTAACCACCTGTTCTACGCAGTTATAGAGGTAGAGCCATGCTGCACCTATATTATGGTTGGATCGCTACTATTTAAATTTATGTGGGCTCAGGCCTCCCCTCATTTCTGAGAAGGTTTAGGGCAAGGAAGTGTCCGCCGCGCTCCCCAAATGCATGTTGACGAACTTCACGTGTCTTCGAAATATTTTTTTTCTTATTCCTCAGACATGCAGGTTTCCTCACGATGTTTTCCTTCACCGCCGAGCACGTGGTAAATCAGCACTTAAAATTGCAATTAACAATTTCATCACTCTCTCTCTCGCTCTCACAGTACAGCAGCGTAAAATAGCAGCTTAATGCTGATGTGTTTCATATGGTAAAGGTAGGTAACAGTCCCGTTTTACTGGAAACGAGGCATTCCATCTTAGTCCTCAGCGGTGACAACACATCTGCATTTTAATTCTTAATATTGAGGATAGATGTCTATGGGTCATAGCGTTCACTTACTATCACGTCCACTTACTAATATTCAAATGGATATAATTCTACAATAAGGGACCATTTATTATTTACGTAAGGATAATCTTTTGCGATGCCATTTAACGATGGTTTTAATTTCAATTAGCACGTATTTTCCATCGGCACCCCTGCAGTGTAGAAATTTCCATTTTAATCTAAACTGTAATTATATTTCTTTCCACTTTGATTCTCTAGGAGGGGGCATGATAATTGTGACAGTTTTTCAAATATGGCTGCGCAAGTTTCATAAACAATAATCCTTGTGATTGATTCTCCCAAGTGAAAGTTAATAGCTAGTGACTTGAAGGAATTTCCAGTAGCCAAGAATCTGTAAAACAACTTTATTTTTTTTACAGCTCTAGATTGTAAAGAAAGGTGGAAAAGGATTAGGGAGAATTACAGGCGTGCTAAAAAATAAGGAAAACCAAAAGTGGACAGGCACCAAAAATATTAACGATCCAAAGTATACCAAGAGGATATTACCATTTCTAAAGAAATGGAAGAAGAAGATATTATCATTGTTAAAAGATTTCTCGAAGAAGAAGACGGAGGGGTCTTTCTTCTTACTTAAGATTCTATCTCGTTTTTCGGAATAATAAAATGTTCGTAAAAAAGGATCTATTAAATATGTAACCGGAATTATTATATAATAAAAAATCTTTCAATGCTATTGTTGCTCGAAAATAAAAGAATAATTTTTTAATATTCCAAATAATTAAAATGAAATTAATACTCGGGAAGAATGTACTATAATTATATAAAGATATAAATGAACAAAGGTAAATAGAAGTGTACATTTGAAGAATGAAGAAAACCATTTGGCATTCAAAATAGAACTACATTTCCAATACTAAATTTCTACTTAAAAGTATAACGTAAGAGTACCCCCCCCCCCCCCCCCCCAATATAAGGGTATTTAGAGTTTATAACCCCTCTTCCCTCTTGGGACCGTTACGTAATTATAGAATGGCCCCTAAGCACATGGATAATGATTGGAATATTATCCGTGTAGATGTAGATAAGTTTTGTCTACCCGCACCAGTAAAACGCAGTAAAGTAATTGCTTCATATCCCTATAAGTAATAAGAGGCAATGATGAGATGATTATGATGATGATGGTGAGATGCAATTCGTGAGGCTCAAACAGTTTCAGTGTTTAAAAGGCGAGTTAAAGAGCACTATCTTTTCTTTGTCGTTGTCTGTTTTATATTAAGTATATTAATATTATAAAATTTATTATGAGAGTGCACACTAAATCTGCTTCTCTTTGAATCTGTCCAGTATCAGGCCTGCTGGAAGAAATTTCAATATGAAATAAGCAGTGCCTTTGTACAAAATATCTTTTTATTTTTCATTGTAACATTACTTCGTGTGCACATAAATTGTTAAATAAATAAATAAATTAATAAGAGGCTTGTGCTCAGCGGTGGGTCGTAAATAGATAATAAATTTACTTTTTACTATTGTTTTGTCTTTGTTTACTAGACAATCGCATCATGTCAATCAATCATGTTTTAATTGTTCATTTCTCAGTATTTTCGTTAGAAGCGCTAAAACTAATATTACCATTGTAATCTCTAGAGTCTAGACTATAAAGAATAAATCCACGTGCATTTCATTAAGATACGTTACAATTTATGGTGGGCCCAATCTCCATACAAAAATAAATTTTAATTGATGTAAAGTTTCATAAATAATTTTAGCAATGATTGTAACTTTATAATTAACGAATAAGATAGATAAAATAATAAATATGTTTGTTATATATACGAAACTTTTGCTTCATTTAAAATATTTTAAATTTTGCCAAAGTGTGAACCAGTTTATCGGCAACGCAACAGTTTATCGTTTCACACTCCTTAATAACAGTACCTGGTACTTAGAAATACTTAAATTAACACAAAAATAATTAAAGAAACATTCACCACTATGGACACAACGACATATAATGTTTCCTCAAGATGGTTTTAAGCTGCGACTTAGTTACGCTTTTGGCATATACATCCGCCACCTCACACAAGATTGGAATTATCCATTGTACGCCCGTCCAAAGTAATTTTCAACACTAGGTATGAGATATTTCCTCCTTTGTGTGATTTAGCGCTTCGGCATTGCAATATATATCTTAGGTTTCTTAAATTTTACTATACCATGCTGTTCTAATGTAGTGATGGATTTTACTTTCATGTCTATAGGAATAATTTTTATCTAGAGCATTTTTCGCTTTAGGATCAACTAATATATTTAAATTTTCGAATCTTATCTGTACAGACTTTATTTTGTTAGGATAAGTTGGGAATGTAAGTCTATATGTACCTAAGCCATATTCGATCGTTGCATCTGCCAGGGCATAATACACCATATACATGATTCTTCGGTTCACAACATATTTTATATGATTCAGTTTACCTAAAACTGTACTAAGCCTATTATATCCTAATTCAACATGCATGCCCCATGAGAAACGATAACCAGCCCTAAATATTTATATTTCGTTACACATTGGAGCTTTTCGCAACAGCAGAGAAAGCTCAACTGATCAGTATGCAGGCAATACTTACTGTTTTTATAGAACGGTTATAGGGTGATGACTGATGATATTACCATAAATTTGGTTTTATTCAAGTTTATGGTAATACCATTGTCGTGGGACCACTTGATTAAATTATTTCAATCCTGATGCACTGTCAACTGTATCTGGCTACTATTTTTGATGTGACACATCTATTGCCGAGGGGCAAAACCGTACGTAGGCGTGGCGACGCATCGCCATGCGCAAGCGACATTTCTCTCACCACACTGAGATCGGATACCTATTTAGTATACATTTTTGTTTGTTACGGTACACATAACCTGTGTTTTATCTAAAAAGAATATTTTTTTTAACAATAAAGTATGTCTG